TTTCTAGTCTGTTCCATTGGTCTATGGGTCTGTTCTTGTGCCAGGACCAAATTGTCTTGATTACTGTTGTGCTGGGCTTCTCTTACCGGGCATGTTTTCAGGGTTCATCCATGTCATAGCAGGTGTCAGAATGTCATTCCTTTCTGTGGATAATATTCCATTGTATGGATGTACAATATTTTGTTTATCTATTCATTATCCATTCGAGTATTTCTGTCTTTGGCTATTATGAGCAATGCTTCTGTGAACACTGGTGTTCAGGTTGTTGTTCAGAAATATGTTTTAATTTCTCTTGAGTATATAGCTAGGAGTGGCGTTGCTGAGTCCTGTGGTAAGAAGAACTGCTGTACTGTTTTCCACAGTGGCTGCACCATCTTACATTCCCACCTGCCATTTATGAGGGTTCCCACTTCTCCCCATCCTCACCAACACTTGGTATTATCTACCATCCTAGTGGGTGTGAAGTGGTATTTTATGTTTTTGTTATTTTTAATTTTCTTATAAATTATTTTTATTCATAGATTGCTATTTGCTTTAAGATGGTATTATATAAAAATACTTAGTTTTTAATTTTATAATACATTTTCTTTAAAGGGACCATGAGGAAACTATCCCTTCAACCCTTAAATTGTTTTTAGTTAATTACTTTTAAAAAATAATGCATATACAAAGTATGACGTTAAAAAAGCAGAAATGGCCTTAGAGTGAAAGTGAAGTCTGCCTTCCGTGCCTGTCCCCCAGCCGTCCAGGGCTCCTCCCCTGAGGCTACCACTCTTGGCACTTTCTTGTGTTCTTTCTAAAGGATAGATAAGCATATATGTGTGAGCATGTGTATTAGTTTTTATTGCTGCTGTAACAAACTGTCACAAACTCAGTGGCTTAAAAACAACACAAATTTAGTATCTTAGAATCCTGGAAGTCTGTAATGAATCTCACTGGGCTAAATCAAGTTGCTGGCAGGGCTGGCTTCTCTGGAGGCTCTAGGGGAGAACCTGGTTCCTGGCCTCTAACAGCTTCTGCAGGCAGCCCGCACTCCTTGACTTGCAGCCCCTTCTTCTGTCTTCAAAACCACCAGTGTCCCATCTTCCATCTCTCTCTGCCTCTGCCTCCTCTGCCTCCCTCTGCCACTTTCAGGGACCCTGTGATTGCTTCGAGCCAACCCAGTAAAGCCAGGGTCAGCTCTTTACTTGAAGTCTGGCTCATTAGCAATCTTAGCAGTTCCCTCCGCAGGCTTGGTTCCCTCTTGCCATGCAGCCTGATGTCCACAGGCTCCTGGGGTTAGGATGTGGTCATTATTCTGCCTGACAAGTGTGTATGCTTTTGCTGTTTGAACAAATGTTAACGTAGTTTACACCCTATCTTTGCCTTTTCATTTAATAATATATCTTGAAAGTTTATTCTCTGTCAGAAGCTAGAGAGCTGCCTTATTCCTTTTTATCTGCTACGTAAGGTTCCTTTGTGTGGCTTTTCATAATTTAACTATTTCTTAGGGTGTTTCTTGAGGTGCTAGAGTTTTAAATTTTTATGTAGTCAAATGTATTAGTCCTTTCTGAGTGACTTCTTACCTTGTTATACTTAGAAAGCCTTTTTCCAATGAAATAATTAGTGATTCCTTAGATTAAAAAAATACTAGTTACCTTCTACATTAGAATGGCATAGGGCTGCCCCAACAAATTACCACATATTTGGTGGGTTACAACAGAAATATATTCTTTCACAGTTCCAGAACCCAGGAATCTGAAAACAAGGTGTCAACAGAACTGTGCTCCCTCCCGAGGCTCTCGGGAAGGGTCCTTCCTTCCTCTTCCAGCTTCTGGGGGCTTCAGGCACTGCTTGGCTTGAGGCCACATTGCTCCAGTATCTACCTCCTCTCTATGTCTGTGCGTGTCTTTCTCTCTTATTTTTCTATTGTGCTAAAAAACACATTAACATAAGACCTACCCTCAATTTTTAAGTGTATAGTATTGCTAACCATACGTACGCTGAGTACAACAAATTGCTAGAACTTCTTCATGTTGCATAACTGAAACTCCCCATTTCCCCCTCCCTCCAGCTGCTGGCAACCTCTCTGATTTCCCTGTATGTCTCTTATAAAGACATTCATTGGATTTAGGTCCCACTCACATAAGCCAGAATGTTCTCATTTCAAAATCCTTAATTTAATTACACCTGCAAAGACCGTCTGAATAAGGTCACATTCACCAGTTCTTGTCCTGCGGGTTAGGACAAGAGCATAGCTTTTTGGGGACCACCTTCAGCTCACTACACACTCTCAGCGCTTTTTATCTTGCTGCCTAGAAACCATCTTTGGAAAATAAACATTTGTGAGAAGCTTTAACAATTGCTTCTTCGGTCATTCCTTCAGGAGCTTCTGTATGCACAGCAGCTATAGGCCTCCTGTGGCATTACTACAGTACGGTGGTGGCATATAGCATTTTGAATGGTCACAACATGGTTAGGTGATGTTTTGGGAGAAAAGTATGTTTTCTGATTTCTACAAACGTGTAATTACAAACAGGATTTTCCATTTTGCGTGGCCTGAAGCTAAGATATTTGAAAATGTACACTGAGATTTGTTATTTTGAATAAGATTGAAAGGTGGCTTTAAAACCAGTATTACCTGTATTTGAATATTTATAAATAAGAATAATACCGTATCAAATGCCCTGTATTTATCCAGTTCTTCATGGGGGAGCATCAGTTTTTCCCTATTAAATAATGTTGACCTGACATCCTCATATCATATATACTTCAGCCAGTATTTTTTTACTGGGTAAGTTCTGGAATTGGAATTGCTGGGTCATAGCATATGTACATCTTAAAGATTTAATAGAAATTGTCAAATTGCCCTCAAAATAACTATACCAATTTATACTTCAGCAGTAATGAATGGAATGTATGGGAGTATTTTTAAAGCAAATCCCGAACATCGTGTCATTTCACCTGGAGATACTTTGGCATTTTTTGCTAACAGATGAGGACTTTCCTCATTTTTAAACATATTTCAAAAACATTATCACTTCTAAAGAAAAATGCCTTTTTACTGTTGCTTTGTTCAAATCAGAATTCACACAAGACATTTAACATGTGCCCCATCTAGAAGAGGGGTTGAGGAGGGTGCCCTCCTCCGGAGCTGTACCATTTTACCAGCCTACCCTGTGCTGCTGCAGGCTTGATACCCAAAGGTGACAGGCTTTTTTTTGCGTGTTTCCGTTCTGTTGGCTTCTGGTCAGTCCCACACTCATGGCATCCTAGACCTGGCTCCCAGGCGTGCCTCACTTCTCTTGGGCTTGGCTTTGTGCGTCCCTGTCCCAGTCTATGGGGGCTTCCTTGAGTCTCTCTGAAACCGGCGTCTGGGTGGGGTGGGGAGTAGCTGCCTCGCCGCGGTCCTGTTGCAGGGCCGGGCCGCGTGTGCGACGTGAGGTCTCGCAGACTGCTTTCTGTCAAGATTTTCTCATGGCCCCACTCTCCTGGTATCTGGGCTGCAGAAGCTTTTCCAACCCAGAGAGAGACTTTTGCCTTCTGAGCTTTTCTTACTCCCTCCACCTCTGCTTGAAAAGTAGCCGCTCTCTCCTGAGCTCGTGTTGTCTTGAGACGCCTCGCCGAGGCAGCCGGAGGGAGTCCGGGCGCCCGTCCCGCTCTCCACACTTGCCCCGGGCCATCAGGCTCAGCGGGCTCTTGGTCCCTGAGAGGCAGCAGCTACTGCAGGAGTCTTCCTCACGGGCGGTGTTCTGCCATGGTGGACCAGGCTCTGCAGGCATCCAGCCCGGTACTTGCCACCTGAGTGCATTTTGTAGGTTTCTGTTACTAGTACCCCACTTCAAGATACTCATTTCCCTGTCTGCCAGGAAGAGATTTTACACAGTGAAGTAGAGGCTCATGGGGCTGTTATCTGTGCTGGGGTGCTGGCAGTGGTGGCAAAGCCAGGAAAGCCGCCGTCAGCTCTCAGAAAATGTAAGAATCGCAGGAACCTGCTGCAGCTCGGCCAGGCCCTCTGCAGGAGCAGGGCTGCTGCTTTTCCAGGAGAGCGCGCGGAGGCTGCCGGCGCTGTGGCGGCTGCCGAGTGAACGCCCGGGCCGCGCCCACAGCCCCAGCGGGAGCGGCCCCCGCGGGCCCCTGGCCTCCGCTGCTGTCTGAGCCTCTCCTCGCGGGCAGGGCTCGGGGTGCCCTCCTGGCCGCAGACTGCAGGGACCTGGTGCTCCCCAGTAGCACACCACCCAGCTTTGCTTCTCTTTTTTCATGTGAGAAAATCCTGTTCATTTTTTCTCCCAGTTTTATTGAGAAATAATTTGACATCTCTGTATAAGTTTAAGGTGTGCAGCATGATGGTTTGATCTACAAGCTTTGTGAAATGACTGTCACACTAGGTTCAACTAACAGCTACCTTTTCATATAGATCCAATAAAAAGAAAAGAAATTATAAAAGAAAAAAAAAGGAAAAAGAAACCTTTCTCTTTTTGGTGCGAACTGTTAGGATTTACTCTCAGTAACTTTCCCATAAACCATACAGCAGTGTGAGCTCTAGTCATCATGTACGTTACACCCCAGCACTTACCTTATAACTGGACGTTCCTACCTTTTGCCCACTTTACTCCAGCTCCCTTAAAATGAGGGATACACTGAACCTTACAGAAATAGGAGAGCAATCCTCAACATACTGCTATTGGGTTATCTTACAGATAAAAATGTTTTGAGTACAAGATATATGCATAAATAAAACTCAATTTTTGTAACTCTTCATTTATAGACTACAGAGCAATTGGCAAGATAGGAGAGGGAACATTTTCTGAAGTTATGAAGGTGCAGAGCCTGAGAGATGGAAACTACTATGCATGTAAACAAATGAAACAGCACTTTGAAAGGTAGGTGATCGGGGACACACGTCAGGCTACATACAGATACAGGCTTAAATCAGTGAGGCAGCTTAATATCTGTGGGGAAAGTGTATTCATGTACTAATAGGTAAGATACAATCAGATTTCTTTGGGCAGTGAGGATTAATGGTTCATTTTGTTTATCATATTGGATTTTATGCATGTCTAGCTTTACTGTAATATCAATGATTAATAATTAAAGAAAAAGTATATTATAAACATATGCCTCACTTTAAGCAGTTTAGGTGTCCCTAAAAGTTGTATGTATGCTGGACTTTTATAAATGATATCTTGGTTTAAATATATTAGAGGGCCTTGTGATTTAATTATAAATCAGTTAACATGGTGAAGAATAATTTCCAGGTAGGGTTAGAGAAATAACTGGAGTGATCAGTTGCCATTTGCGGAGGGGTCTCTCTAGCTCTGGATTATCCTTTGGGGGACTGTGGGGGAGTTTTCCCTCAGAGCATCTGCTTAAGTCTTCAAGTTTGCAGTTTCTTGGCACATGTGATGTCAACGGCCAAAAACTGGATGTGATTAAGGAACTATCAAAATAATGGAGTAGATGCTGGCTTCACTGCAGCTGTTAAACTTTTCAATAAAGAGGTTTGAAGCTTAGCTTTTTTTTTCAATATTGAAAAAAAAACAGAATATCAAAGCAAATTTTTCAAAAATACAGCCAGTCCTTCACATTGATGCCAAGCCTTCTGAAATGAAGTGTTCTGGAGTATCGACCTTTATTTTAGACTCCTAGTTTGAAAAATTGTCTCTCAGACCAGAAAGAGGTATAGGGCAGTTAATCGTGTCACGGAGTGTGGGGAACAGTGGTTTCACTCCCATGACATCCCCAGAGGGGTCCCTGTTTGCACAGGAAGAGAAGTGCTGAGAGATGTGATGTAGCTTGACAGTTGACTCTAGGTTACTAAGTGGGCACAGTCAGGTTTAAACCCAGGTTTCACAGGGTCAGAATCCTCATCCTTCACTACCCGAAGTATATGGCCATTTACTCACCACTGCTGTGACTATGAAGTTACTGGGTTTTTGGTTTTTCCTCTGTTCTGACACTTCTTCCTCCATTTTATGTTTCATTTCCCTCAACTCCATCTTTACCTTTAAACTACTTAGGATAAAGAATTTGATGCACAGTGTACTGATTATGCCATATCTAAATAACAACTTACTTAAACAGCCATCTTTGGGAAATGCATCACAAACCCAGAGTAGCCCAGAAAGGATTTTGAGCAGCTGGATGTGACCCATTTGCACCTTAGGAAAGGACCAGAATCCCTGTCAAGTCCCACTGTCAGGCTCAGGGTCAGATGTCCTTACAAGCAACAACAAGACTTGCCAGCTGTATTTTGGTGAAAAGAGAAGTACAGAAAGTAGACTGGACAAGTAGCCTACAGGCTTCAGGCACTTCTGAGATTGTTGCTGTGTCAGAATATTCATAGTCAGGGTCACTACGTTGAGCTCGTTGTCAAGAGAGATTGCACTTGGTCACAGATGTGCCCTTCAGGAAGGTGGAGATATCTGTAATTAATTTTAGAAAGGTTTCCATCAAAGAAGATTAGAATGCTTTGAGGGGCAGGGGGCGCTCACTGTGTCTGGAGCAGGACCTTCCTGTAACCTCAGTCCCTCTGGAGACCTAAGGGATGCGGTTTCCCAGTGGTGGAGCACATCCCGGGCCCACCGTCTGCCAGGCCCCCGACACACTGCAAGGGCCTCGCCTACCCAAGCCGCGGCTTCCTGGTCGTGAGGTGCCTGAGAACTAAACAAGGGAATGACTAGAAAGTAGCTAGCAAGAAAAAAGTAAGTAAGCAAGCAAGCAAGCAAGCAAATAAATAAATAATAAATAAATAAATAAATAAATAAATGTACTGGCTAAGTGAAGATGAAAGAAAAACAAAGTAGCTAGCAAGGTATGGCACATGGTGAATGTTCAAGAGATGGTAGCGTTGTTTACTGTATGTGTAGTCATCATAATTGTATTGTGAAAACTAATGCTCTTTGTCTTAACTTTAAAAGTGGTTAATTAGAATACACTTTTTCCTTTTAAAAACCCATAATAAGTAAAGGTTTTTAATAAAATATCACTAAGTCTGTATTGCGGTTTTTTTTTTTAATTAGTTTGTGTGTGGTAGGGATTACCAGCAGGCTTCGGGTTGTGTTGTATAAATCACGGTTCCACATACTGTCTTTACTTAAGAGAAAGGTCACTTGCTCTGGGCTTTTAGTATTTTGTGGCTGTTTAGTGTACAGAATCAGTGAAAGATTCTCCAGCCAGTTTGCACATAGCTTGTGTAATCCAAACCCATGGGGAATTGGACTTTGGATTTTTTCTTATGAGTTCTTGTTTGCTCTTGACACATATGTTCAAAACTATAGGAGATTTCAATCCAGTACTATCGTTACTTATTTAATAATTTCTGCAGTTCAGATGTTTCCAGCTCTGGCCATGGGGGGCTCTTTCAGGTCAGCTCTGCTCTTTTGACGTGACCCATCCTTTTTGTTTTGTTTTGTTTTTCAACCTTTTCTTTTTTTCTTTTTTTTTTTTAACACTGCAAAAATTCTTGAGACTTATTATGTATTTTTTCCCTGCCCCTAAAATCTTCCATTTGTCTAAGGAGCGCTGGTTGGAGAAAGGTACTTAGAAAGTAAGACTGTGACCCCAGCTGTGCTCACTGCTACTGGAATGCCAGTGCCTCTAGGCACTCTTCAGCAGACACAGCCAGTATGTGTGTATATTGAGCCACATAGACACGTATCTATCTCTCCCCGTTACTGTGAGTGGGCATATTGATATAAATAAATAACTGACTAAATAAATGAATTGGAATGAGGGGACAAATCTTCCTTACAGAAAAAGTTCCAGTTAATAAATATAGGAGTGAAGAAAATAGAATTTCCACAGAAATCATTAGAATACCACAGTAATAATTTCTGCAGGCAAGATAAACTGATGAATGCTGAAGTTAGGGAAACTTTAGAGAAAACAGGATTTCTTACATAGCCTCAAATTAACTCCCCCCCAAATATTAACTACTGTGGTGGTTTTAATGAATGTTCACAAATAGGTTGATATTCTTTCCTCCAAGAGGTGAGCTTAATTTCCTTTCCTTTGAGTGTAGCTTGAATTTAGTGACTTGCTTCTAAAGGACAGAAAAGAGAAAGGGAAGGATAATAACTTTACAGTGAGAAATCTGGAAGATACCACTTAACTAAATGATTAAGATTAAAGCCGTAAGTAGTAAGACATACTGATATCATATATCCTCTGATATAATGGGACGGGAAGAACATATTACCCCCATGGTATTCTCTTCCAAAGATCCACAATCTCAGTTTAAGTATGAGATTATATCAGATGAGCCGAAATTGAGGGTCATTCTGTAAAATACCTGCCCAGGACCTCTCAAAACTATTGAAGTAATGAAAAACAAAGAAAAACTGAGGAACTGTCACAGAGTGGAGGTACCTAATGGGACCCGACCACTTAATTGCAGGGCAGTATCCTGGGTCCTGGAGGAGGAAAAGACATCAGTGGGAAAACTAGGGAAACCCAAAGAAAGTGTCTGGTTAATAGTTGTACCAATGTTAATCTTTTAGTTTTGATAAATGTTTAATAACATTAGGGGAGGCTGGGTGACAGGGACTTGCTGTACTATCTTGGCAAGTGTTTTGTTAGTCTAAAACAATTTCGAAATAAAAAATTAAAACCAAACCAAACTATAAAACAACCAGAAGCAATCTGGAATGACTTGTATTGCTCATAAGCTGCTTCCATTGTTAAAGGTGTTGCTATGGTTTCTGATTTATAGGAAGAAATGACTTTATAGTTTATAAAAGAAAGTTCCAGAAGAAAGACAACTGCCTTGGTGTCAGTTCTAGGAATGAGAATGCCAATACTTCTTTGGATGTTCCAGTGTCACTGGTACTTGGTACACAAGTTCAATGCTGGTTTGGTTCTTTGGTTTTGTTTTTAACCATGAAAATTACATGTCTAGCTTTTTTAGAGTTCTGGATTATCTATCATCATTATTAAACAATTTAATCTTCTTCATCTGAAGAATAATTTTAGGTTCCTTTAAAAATCCATTTCTGTTCTACTTATCATCTAAGTGAATCCTTGAAACCAACTTGCACAGTCTGTGTGGGCGGTGTGGCAAATGAGGAGCGGCAACAGGGAGATCACACTGCGTCGTGCAGGCAGCATGAGGTTGGTACTGGTGTCTCCGATGCCCTCCTCCTCCAAGTTCTACTTCCATTCCTTTCCTTCTGCTCTTACTAAAATAGAAATTGAGAGCTTTTGCAAAAAACCTTACTAATATAAAGTCCAGGTACGGTTAAGTACATCAGTGCCTTATTACTTTATCAGAAAGAGTACTTTCAGCTTCTGAGGAATGTTTTCCTCTAGCGTTGCTCAAAGCCTTAGTTTGGGAATAGGGAAGTTAGTTATTTGCCCAAGGCCTGCAACATGACCAAGTCCTTTGATACCTTTTTTGGTATATTTTCACAATGTCTCCCAACCTGTACACACCAGAAGTACACAATTGATAAGAGGCTGGGGTTTTTTGCTATGATATGATTGTACTCTGTATTATTCCTATAGTAATATTATAAAGAAATGGAATGAGTCTGTTTTTTAAAAAAATCGTTAGTCTTGATATTTAGAGGATCTTTTCGTCTTGACGCGATAAGATTTGCACATGTGCTTATCCTAGTCCGAAGGTAGAACTGACAGCTCTCCCACTTTCAGCTGTGTGACTTTGGGCAATTCCTTAATCTCCCTGTGCCTTAGTTTCTTTGTGTACGCAATGGAGATAACCGGTCTCCTCCGCACGGGGTCATTATGAGGGGTAAATAATGCAGGCACAGTGCTGGTACACAGTAATACAGCAACTTGCAGAATAACATTAGTGCAAGTTAGAAAGATTGGAAGACTGTTTTGAAAACCGAGGTGAGATAATAGAAATAATAATAATAATCAA